TATATATTAACTTATTATTATTATAATTACTAATTATGGGGTAGGGGTCTGGGATATTTCACAGAGCCCAGAAGCAGGAATTTCTGCCTTGGGGCCATGTGGTATATGTACACAAAAGTGCTGCCAGGAGCTCATGGCTCTTAGAGACCAAGTGCAGCACTCAGGCTGAAGGAGATGGAGAAACGGAGAGATGAAATTCTGTACTTAGAGAAACGCTGAGACAGCAGCAAGGTGGGCGCTTCATCTGAAAGAGCTGGGCCACGAGGAGAAGGCAGTGGTGGTGAACAGATGGATGACCACCTCTCTAAGCATAACTTGAGCTTTGTCAGGGAAAGGTGCTTTTACAATGTCAGCTAGCACACAGTATAACCTTCATGCAGACAAGCCACGCTTTTGTTTTACTTACATGTACAGGCTTGGAGTCAAGCCAAAGGTATTGCTTAACAAAGGAGAACTGAGGTAAACCTTACTTTGTCTTTTGTCCACCAGTGCTGCACACTAAGATAACAATGCCACTGAAAAACACATCTTTCTTCCTGAGGAAGACAAGAGCCGTGACGGAGGTCATCCAAAAGGAGAGGACAGACATGGTTGCCCAGAAAGACCTGCTGAAATACCCTGGTCCCAGAGAGAGGTTGTGCAGCCATAATTTTGCAGGCATGCAAAGCATAACACCGTTGACTTTTCAGGGCTTTATAATGTTCTCCTCTCTGGTAATCCCTGCACCTCTTCCCAGGCACTCCTAGGGAATTAGTTGCCACCAGCTCCCTGTATCTGAGTATGACCTCAATGGCCTGAAACTTCCCCTGGCCCTGCTGCCCTTGCTCCTGCCCTGGTGTGGCCACAGTGCCCGGCCAGGCTCCACGGACACTTCCCCATCCTCGCTCCCCTTCCGAGCTGCACAGGTAAATTGAAACTGAGCAGCTCACACAGGCTGATCTTTTCTCAGGACAGCTGCAAGCAGGGAGTAGGCAGGAGAGACTTAACAAGCCCATTTTGACTTTATTTTTTGCCCCTTTAATGGCACCAACTGAAAATCAGCCATTGAGCTTAGGAAGGATTGACATGTACCAGATGATAATGTCTCCAGAGAGCAGGCTGAAAATTAAATCCTTTGTGAAAGGGCTCTCCTTGGCTAAACCATATATTCTTTTAAAATGTATCCTTAATTTGATATAGGGCTATTGAGGCCACATCTGCAATATAAAGAAAGGAAGCAACACAATAAAGAAATCAATACCAGTTATCTCAGATGGAGACCTATAGCTTCTGAATGCACTGCAGGACGGGAATGATGGACTGATGGTGCTAGACTGCAGCCTGGCCTTTTGCTTTCTTTACAGTTCTCTCCCCAAAACCAAAGGGGGAAAGGGCTGCTTTTACTACTCACTTTATTGTCACTCATCAAAACAGTCATCAAATCAGCAGAAAAATGCCTGCATGGAAGAAAGATTTACGCACATTCAGAAGGGGAAAAGGATAACGATTTCAGGGATCCCACATTATTTAACGGGCAGAAAACACAGCTTTCCAGCCTTGCTATTTCACCTTAGCACCTGAAGGCTACATGAGATGATTGTGTTAGGTCAGCCTAAGGTGCAGATGTCAGCTGGGTGCAATTATATGGATATTTGCTCAGCTGAAGAATGGCTTGTGTCAGTTTAGCTTAGGTTGAAGCACACCTCAGTTGAAAGGAAGAGGTAAGGTAAATAAGGTAAATATGTCAAGGTAAATAAGTTGTTTAGAAATAAGTTACCCTGCTGTTGCTTTCTTACTTGGACAGCCTAAGGCTCAGATGCATTCAAATTTAAGCAGTGACCCAAAATACCCAGTTGCTCATGCAGGATTTGGATTTCCCTGTGGAGATGACTCTTTCTCTCCAGTTGCTTACAACAGGAACAGTCAAGAGGAAACAGTCTCTGGCTGAAAGGCTGGAGTTAGGCTGGCCAAATCCTGGCTTAATCCCCTCACTTGGTTCAGGACTTGCACATTTTCCGCCACGCATTTTCAACCAGAGCATGAAACTCACTTGAAATACATGGGTCCCAGCTGACCCAGCCCAACAGTGAGCTCTGCAGTGGGACAGTTTGGGAAGTTTTATAAAAACCCCCACCCATGAGTGACAGCAACAAAATAACTCTGCTTTCAAGGGTACAAAGGGAAGGTTAAAAGACTGCATTATTCTGGAGCAAATGGCCTGCTTATATAAATGAAAAGACTGTCTTAAGGTGAAACCTGAGGCTGTCAGTTATTGGACCAGAAGAAGATTGACCAGCCTGGCTTATTAGAGGGCAAATAACAGGTGGGCAGGTTACTCTGTCCAACACCACTCCCCTCCAGAGACCCTAGAAAGACATTTTCACAAGGACAATTATAATGACCAAAGGGTTTAAGGGAAGAAGCCAGGACTCTCCTCCTGAGATTCCACACTCAAAAGATCACACCATTCACAAGGCACATAACTTCAGCGCATCTGTGAGGATCCCACACTGTCCTGCTCTGTCCTCCTTCCTGGGGACCCTGTGCCCACCACTGTCCTTCTCTGGCCTCCACTTCCCCAGTCCCTCTCTAGCTGTACTGGTTTCTCATCATGGCACAGCACTAGCAGACAGGAGATGGAGAAGTGCTGGCTGCAGGAGGCATTGCTGCTCTTGCACCTCCTGCCCTGACCCACTGGTGCTCCTGGCCCTGGGGGGCCCTTGCAGAAGGGGTTTCCCTCACCTGCACTCCCCCATTGATGCCTCCCATTTGGTTTTCAGTCCTGAGGACCAAATTCCAGAGCCAGCATTTCCCTCTGTGTGAAGTGGGACTGCTTCGTGGAGCAAGGCTTTACCCAAGGTCCTCTCTCTGACAAAGCAACTTTGAGAAGTTTTGATTTTCTGCTGTGTCACTCCTCAGCTTCAGTCTCCAAACACTATCCCCAGGTCTGCTTCTTTCCCTGCATCCTAGTCAATATCTTCCCAGGCTTTGGCATGGGTCTCCTGCTGTGTTTGCCATAGTAACCACCCTGCCAAAGTCTCTGAACTTAGAAACATGAGAAGATGCTTTAACTGTTTAGCACTATGCCATGGCTGGTTTCAACCATTTTAGTTCTTTTAGCCCACCTAATCTATTAAAATTAGCACAACAGACACAGTCTGACCCAGTGTATACTTCCCTGAATGAGCACTCTTTACTCCCAGATTCACAGGGAATGTGGATTTTTGAAGAAAGTCAAATCTCTACCTGTTTCCTCACGTGCACGTTTCCTTCCACGGGGATGTTATAAGCGCTCCGGATCAAATTCTTAGCAATGAAATAATAATATACTGAAATGACAGATAGGGGAATTATATAAAAGATCAGAAATGATGCCATTGAGTGAATTTTGGGATGCAGCCCATCAGAATGCGGGTAAGGCGCACAGCTGATGAAGGTTTTATTAGTCCCTTTGTCATGGAAAGGGTGCAGATCTGAAAACACTGCTTCAGGGATGGCGAGCAACATGGATACAATCCAGATTATAGCAGCTCTCACACAAATCTTCATCAGTGCATGGGATGCTTGGATCTCCATTGGCCGTACTATAGCTTTATACCTAAAAAAAAAAAGAAAAATAAAGAAATAATTTATTAACATCAACACTCAGGCATTGTATTCTTGCTCGTCCCTTCCATTTAGAAAAAAATCCCAAACAAAATCCTTCTTTACTCAAGACTCTGAATTTTTTTCTGGTGTTCTAATTTTCAATGTTTTCAATAGATTTTTCATTTTAAACCAGAGCCACCTGCCATGGGTCCATTCAGTTTCCTGTGTATTGATTCTGAGTTCATTTAATTTGTAACAGAGCCAACAAAGCACAGTGCTATCTGACATTAATATATATGTGTCCAAATAGCATGAAGATAGGAAGTGCAATCATAGACTTCTCTTCAAAAACATACAGCAGCTTACACCCCTTCACAGAATAGTGTTGAAGGAAACTGGATTGAGATTTTGCCACACGTTTCATTTTGAGCTGTGAGTACATTGGCCTCCTGCAAGCCAAATCTTATGGTTTCTCGTGCTACAAAGAACATGCAAAGTTGCCTGCTTTAATTGTTGTTTGGTGGTGTAGCTGGCAATTAAGAGTTGTCCATAACTCAATGCATCCAGGCTGTCAGAGCTGCTAACTGACTTTCTTAAAGAAAAAACATATTATTATTTGCTATGCTAGATATGTAGACGACTTTTTTTGATTTTCAATTTGTCTTTATTTCAGCCTTTCAGAAAGTTGTACTTTAGAAAATGAAAGAAGCAAACTTATTTGAACCTGATATGTGTAATGAGAGGACCAGAAAACAGGAGAGCTTCACATCTGCTGCAGCTCTGCTCTGGCAGGAGTGTACACTCCAAGTAAATCACAATTCCAATATGCATATAAGGTACACAGTAGAAGAAAAAAAAAAGATAATTATGAAGGAATATCTACAGGTTTCATAAGTTATTATTTAGGGTCATTACCATAATGATTACAACCTGTTGGATGTTTTTTTCCAGGATCTACCTCACACTGCCCACAGCCCATTTGGTCCCTTGGTCACTGTGAGTTCTCTGGAGATTGATGGGTGCCTGGGACCTAGTCTGTCCCAGCCCACTATTGGCATGGCAGGGTACATCCATTCCCATCCAGCTGCTCCAGAGTCCGTTTCTGATCTCCTACCAGGATCCCAGCTCTTGCAGTCAGCTGAATTGCCACTGGGGTGGGATCAGAGGTAGCAAGAATAATGCCGTGCCTGAGACCAGGCAGTGCACAGCAGGGTCCATCCACCTGGCAGCCCAAACCAGGGACACTTCATGTATGCGATTTATTCCCTACATACTGTATTCTGCATTATCCTAAAGCTCAGCATTTCAGAGAGGACTCTGTCTCTACTGCAATGTTTTAACTGAGTAATTGACTTATTTGCAGAATAAGCACACATTCAACTTCTAGTTATAAGCAATACCCTGTTCAGCATACCTACCCTTTCCTTCTTTCCTTCCTGCCGCACCTGGAATACTGTGTCCAGTTTTGGGCCCCTCAATACAAGAAAGACATTGAGGTGCTGGAGCGTGTTCAGAGACGGGCAACAAGGCTGGTGAAGGGTCTGGAGCACAGGCCTTGTGAGGAGCGGCTGAGGGAATTGAGGTTGTTTAGCCTGGAGAAGAGGAGGCTGAGGGGAGACCTTATCGCTCTCTACAGCTACCTGAAAGGAGGCTGTAGTGAGGTGGGTGTTGGTCTCTTCTCCCACGTAGTTAGCGATAGGATGAGAGGAAATGGGCTCAAGCTGTGTCAGGGGAGATTTAGATTGGATATTAGGAAAAATTTCTTCACGGAGAGGGTAGCCAAGCATTGGAACAGGCTGCTCAGGGAGGTGGCGGAGTCACTATCCCTGGAATTGTTCAAAAAATGGGTAGATGTGGCACTCTGGGACATGGTTTAGTAGACATGGTGGTGTTGGGTTGATGGTTGGACTGATGATCTTAGAGGTCCTTTCCAATCTTAATGATTCCTTGGTTTTACTTTCATTATAAATAATCCAGCCACCAAGCCAGGAAACATGAAATTGCTACTCTACCCTTAATTGGTTTAGTGATGGACTTGGTAATGTTAGGTTAATGGTTGGACTGGTTGATCTTAAAGATCATTTGCAACCTAAACGATTCTATGATTCTATGTATGTATATATGTGTATATATGTGTGTATTTTTTATACATATACATATTTATACACATATATTTTATACATTATGTATACATGTATATGCATGTATACATAAGTACGTACATACATACTTACATTTACATTTATTTATATTTATTTTTGTAAAGACTCTATCTGGACATCTCGTCATTTGCAGATGTTTCTTCATACAGTCCCACAGGTGTCTTGTGTATATGATATTTCCTTTAATGAACTGCAAACACCTTGCTCAATAGTCTTCTGTAACCACTTATTCTCCAAGCTCTCCAGCTCCCCCTTATTCCCGCTCCACAGCTGCAGCAGCCAGACACAATATTTTTCAGGCTTGTTTAGTACCTCTTTAACTTGCACTCTGGAGCTGGGTACTAAGTGGTGCCGTACTACAAAGCACAATTTTCCAGTGCAAGATCATGATCTCGGGTGAAGAAAATCACAGCACTTAAATACAGTGTTATGACTATTTCTGCAGTAAAAGGGAAGAGCTAGGCAGATTACTAAAACAATGTAGCTCAAATAGCTCAATTTATAGTCTGATTCACCAGTTATAGACTATTGACAGAAACACTAGCTAACTGAACATCTTCAGTAAACCCTAGGGAAGATAAATGCAAAAGGAAATTAATTATATATCAAGGTATTCATAAATCTAGTTAATTCTAAGGCATTTCAGCAGGTGTTTATGGTATACTTATCAACATGGCATGTTAGTGTAATTATTTCACAGATTTTCTTACATAATATAGCCAGCTGAAAGAATATTTTCCAGTGTGAATTTCCAGTAACATGAATGAGTTGAAGAATACAGAGAAAGAGACACTCTTATTTTTATTAACATTAATAGAATAGGGAGAGTCAGAAAATTAATCCATTTTAAATTGCTAGTACATTTTAATTAGAGATGGTGTTGTCCGAAAAGCGGATTTGTTGCCTGGCATGCAATAAGCCAATTTCTACACACAGGTCAGATACTGCTTTATTTCATTTCTGCGCAGAGATGGGTGCTAGGTGGTAATTCCACAAAGCTAGCACACCGACTTCTGCTCTTAATTGTATTTATACAATAGATTCCGCATGTCCTTCCCCTCTCATACATATATGCATTTTAATTTACATACATTACGTAATTACATAGTTACATAACAGTCTAACCACGCATGCTCCATAGGGGTCTCCAGTGGTCTTCGGTGGTCACTTCAGCTTGTATCCCCTGTAGGCTTGTTGCCAAAGTTCAAGTTGTGGTCATCCAAACCTTTTCTATTGTCCTTCTTCATTCATCCATCATTTGCCCAAGTTCCTGTGGTGTTCCATTATACTACACTCATTTCCTTTGAAAGCCTGCTATAGCAGATATAAAAGAAGAACTGAGAGATGGTTTGCTTGCAAGGGGCTCAGTGCAGACTCAAATCATGAGGTTGAAAGCACAAAAAGATAAAACAGAAAAAACAAAGGTAGAAAATAGGTTTGAAAATGTAAGTTCTCAGATGTGGGAACACAGGTAGATGTTTTCTTAAGAGCCTGACAATTGAATCAAATTATTTTGCTGACTATCTGCATGACTTCTTTGATGGTGGGCTAATGTATTCAGAAATCCTCAGTAATCTATGTTATCCTCTGAGTATTAATGCTTAATTGATCTTTATTGATCTGGTGGGCCTCTCCATTTCCAGTCAGCTTCCCAATGCATCGATGAGTCTCTCCTCAGCTTGTGTCTCAGCAGCTCTACTCTCCCATGCCAGCTTGGGTTCTGGACAGCAGCTGCAGGGGCTGCTCTTTGTAAGGGTATGGTGGGGGGGGGGACACACGAGTGATAGGAGCCCTGGGTTGGGGCTTGGGCTGGGAGACCACTGGAAGATGTGCCTGTGGTCAATGCTCATGGAGTGAAAAAGCTGCACCTCCTGGTTGGTTTCTGAGTGGGGCTCAGAAACTCCACTCCTTTACTTTTCCATGCCACTTTCCTGATAGGGTCAACCCTGGATTTTATAATTTATTTGACATTTCTGAAGAACTTCAGCAAGGTAGACTGGATTTGAGCAGCAGCTGGTCCTGTGCTTCAGCATTTGTATTTCCACCTTGTGGGTCAAACATTATTTCAAGCTTTCCACAACTTCGTCCTCTGCAACTTCTTTTTCAATGAGTTAGCCCGAGGCGCATAACTTTCCCATATTTAACATCCAGCATTTAAATAATCCAATCCACTTTGAAGGGGACATTGATGGATATGCCTATATACCTCAGTGGAGCCAGCTGTGCGAGCCCTCATTCAAAGGTCTTACAACAGTGTTATTTTCAACCCATAACACAGGCTCTGAGAGTACATGTCACATTGCCTGCTCAGCTTGTCTGCAGTAGATCCAGACATGGCCCTGGATTTATCACCTCTGCTTACTCTCACATTCAGTCTCTAATTACTGTTTGATATCACTTTTTTTCATCTGAACTCCTTTCCCAACCCACTTTTAAAGAAATTTTTGAAAAAGATTAAAAAACAGAGGTATGATTCATGTCCTACAACAAAGGCCAAAACTTAAAAAGAAAAATATGCCTTCTGAAGATTCAGTTGAATAAAAAATGATACAGTCAAGAACTTGTGTCAACTCCAATCTCTCTGCAGTCGTCAAACGGCCCAGATGAATGTGGCTGGGTTGCTGATCTGATAGGAAATATGAAAGAGATGCTGACCTTTACTACTGCTCAGTCTTTGAACTTCTTTGTTCCCGCTGCACTTGTGAAGCAGCAACCTGCCTTGTGCACAGCAGCTACCGATGACCTTCTGGCCAGGAGGGATGCCGGTGATCTGTGTGTCTTGAAGTCTCGTTCAAAGAAGGCCGCACAAAGAAATTACACACGGAGCTATCTTAAGCGCAGTTAATAT